GACATACAACTTCTCTCTTCCCAATTTTTGAGAAATGACCCGTAAGAGTATCAGATCCAAATGAGCAAACTTATGAGTTGCAATGATGTCCCTTCACACATCAAAAACCATTTTTGTTTATGCTGTCAGTTAATTAAGCTCTCTTTTCCATCTTTTATCTACTTCTTATTGAATAATTTTCTCCCTATGTGTAAAGCTGGTAATTTTAATTCTTCTTATTTACAGATATTTCATTGTCACTCTTTTCACTTGGCCTCTGGTTAATATTTACCATCTGCCTCTTGCTTCTCTACGGTCTGACCCCCCAGAAAACTTCCAGAAACTCTCCCAAAAGCTTTATTCTTTCCACAATCCTTATTTTGGACAGCTCCCATTTTTTAAGACAGAATTCAATTCCAGCTTTTTTCTCTTCCCCTGTTAGTTCAAGAAATCTTATTGACTCTCCCTGTCTCTGAAATAATGAGCGCCAAACCCGTAGTCAGCATTACCTTGAGGTCTTCATCAAAGCTGTAGCCCATCAGTTCTGAATGGGTATCCTTTTGTGTGTGAAATCTCATCTTCTATGCATCACCCCATCTTCTACAATAGTCTTCTTTATCTAATACTACTCCTGCACCATTATAGCTAGGGATTTTTCTGAGAATTTGTCATCTTCCTCTCTTACCCACTTCCAGATCTGGATCCTTTTGTATCACTGAATTGAATTTTGCAAACTGTTTTCATCTCGCTTTAATTCTCTCAAATTCATTTCCCATCAGATTTCAAAGTCTTAATCAATTTAGCAGTTGGATCTGCATCACACTGCAAAATGACATTGGAGAGGAAGCAAGGCACATTATAGACATATTTGCAATATTTTCTTTATAAGTCATATGTATCCTTGGGAGTTTCAATGTTCGTTATTCAAGTCATGATTAAACAAAATTTGATGACCAAGTTTCTTTGGCAGGATGCATTAATGCATCAATAAACACCGAACTGAGCTCTACGGTACTGCATCTGTGAAAGCAAAGAAAACGTGTAATTGAATGACCAAAATCTGTGTTCACTGATATGTTTGAATTTCTGATAATTAACTCTATGTATAAGTTATTTTAACTGGGAACCATTAAATGCTATATTTTTTCTCCCTTGTGCTAAATATGCTTTAAAAAGGATCTGATTTACCTTTATACCAACTCATTCTGTTTTGTTTCTGTAATTACCCATAGACTGCTGTGATTGCATTAAGGTATCCATGTTGCACATTTGACACTTGAGCTAGGAAGGGGATGTATATCCAACATTTTGCATGGAGTTACTACGAAAGTGTATCTAAAGATGTCATTTTGTGATGCAGCTACTTTAAATTGAGTTAACTGTTCATTTTGAGCACTTCATATTTTGTGACACGTGGTTTCTATTTTTCCATTATGCTGTAAGAATTAAGATATATCATGTATAGGCATTGATATTCAGTGCTGTCTATGTTCTGGACTTGAAAATTCAATGTTTGATGCTCTGCATGTTCACTCAGTGGTCATGATATCTGTATAAAGCACACACGTAACCTACTTTTAGGAGTTGATACTTTTATTTAACTTTTGTTCTGGGTAAAGCTAAAATATGAAGCTACATTCTAGTAATCTGCATGTGCTTTTAAGCACTAGCTCATCAGCTTAGTTGTTATTTATCTCAACAGATTTTAAGATCGTGAAGGGATCCTATTTCAGATCTTTTTTCCCTTCTATTTTCTTTTTCTTTTTCTTTTGGTTGAGATGAGTGGCGGTGTAAGGGGTGCATTATGACAATTTGTATTAACACAATTGTGGGAATTTGAGTAAAAGATGAATAAGATCAATCATTTGAATATAGATAATCTAGTGCTGGAGAGTATTGGAGATTTTAATCTAGGTTGTGACTTTTTGTGGGGTTGGTATTTAATCCTTTGGATGTGATTGAATGGATCAGGATTTTGACAAATGTCAACTTTCCTTTTCATTTTCACTCTTCTGACTCTGTAGTGACTTAAGGAGTTTGCCCCTTATGTATTTTGTAGTTTTGTAGATTGTGGATCTGGATCTTTTTCAGTTGTTTTTAATTTTTATAACATACTCCTGCTTTATACATGCTATGTTACTTTTCTGGGCATGTAGGAGTTCAGGGTTGTCATTGACTAAAAAAACAGAGAAAATTTCTAATCAGCCAGAGTGTTCTGAACTGCAACTTCCTGATGCCTCACTCCTCTTGGATTCACCTGCTTTTTCATCTCATCTTGTGACTGATTCAGACCACTCATCTCGAGTTGGAGTTGCAATGGCTGAAAACGCATCTCGGAAGAGGGCCTTAAATTGTTCTCCTGCCAGTCATGTACGTAGTAAAGTCCCAAAGGGAACCTTGCCTCCTCCCAAGAATGTTCCAGATACAGTAGGTGGCCATTTACTTCCACCTCAGCTTACTGGAAGGTGTGTACTGAATGTTGATTATTGCTAATGGTGTTTTATATACATTTAGCTTAGCCCAAATCATATTCAAATTCATCGTTCATTTCTTGATACAATGGAAAGTGCAACTTATCTTCATAAATTTTACATCCGATTTCAAGATGTTTCGAGCATGTGATTGTGTGTGATACATGTTGCATAGCTTATTCTTCTGGTAAAATTAAGATCAATTTTATCGGTTGACACCTGCCAGAAAGGAGTTTGTTAGTTGTTACACCACTTCAGATACCTGGCTACTTAATCTATATATATTATTCCAGTCAGTGTCTGAAATCTTAGTTATGTTTTTTGGGTAATTGGACTTAGATTTCTTATTATAAGTATGAATATGTTGATCATTCGTAAGCTGGTAGCACTGAAAGAAATAATTGTCTCCATATATTAGGATCTTTGTCGGTTTCATGTTCCTTTATGTTCTTGCCATCATATTATTGGAAAAATTAAGGGCAGAAAGAACTCTGACCTCTTAACTACTCAAATATTGAGATAAGATGTAGTAGTAGATGCAAGTTTCACTTTTCAATAATTTTGTGTTTTCTCGGTTTGTTTGAACACATAAATCTCTAGCCTTGAGCGTAAATTTAATGTGATTCGCACGGCAATTTGTTTCCCACAAATTAAATTTACCCATGATCTAATGGATTTTTGCAGGAAAAACGTTGTTACAGAGGACATAAGCAAGCTCTTTGTAAGAAAGCATGCCAATACTTGATGACACTAAATGTACAAGTTGGTGGTATCTTGTAATGTTACCATTGTCTTCGATATGTCAGTTTAGAAACGCTTTGAATTTAAGGGTCGTTCCTGTAAGACCTTATGAATATGGTCCTATAATGTAACCAATTTGTTACTAAGCTTTTGTCCATCAAATAAGATGCCAAAATTTGTGGGTGTGACTGATGGTTGATACATTTGCACTTGCTGATCGAATTTTAGCATACTTTTTAATTCATTAATCATGTACTGTACAGTTCCGTTTTATTGTAGTTGAAGAAGCATCTATAGAGGTGATTATTTCTAACTGTAAAAAGAATCAAAAGCTGTCTTACTTTCTTTTCAATTTTTCCCAAAGTTATTTGTTTCTTTTGCCATTGAAGAGTAGCTGTGGAGGGATAAGATAATGGTACCATTGGCTCTGTTTGGGATGTGCTGCAGAAATCTGAGCCTGGTAGATAGATGTCTTGTATTTGGGGTACTTATGACTGATCGAGGTTGGTCTCAGCTTGTTTTGTAACCAATGGGCATAAATAAAAGTACACTTTCGATTGAGTTTGTATGAAATGCACGGAACAATTTTGAGCATATGACAAATAAGGAGAAAAAGAGTATTAATCATGAAATTTACAACCAAAAAGGTGAAACATAGTGATCTAGAATAAAAGCATAGGAAGAATTGCAGTGCCTTGTGATTTTCATACCTCAAAGCTCTTATTGTCATGTCATTTGATGACTCCATCGGAGGTTAAGAATAATGTTACCGAGCATAAGTGATGCCGAGACATGGTTTAGATTGAAGAATATGATACATCCAATTAGGTGAGTTCCATGTTCTTACATTTACTTAGACTAATCAACGTTGAACGTGCACCTATGAATTGCTTTATAAGTGCTCCAAAAGTAATATTTAGATATGCATGAATGTTAATTAATTTAGAATTAATACCAATGATTATATATGTGACGATGAATGTTAAATAATTTATTTAATTTTCAATTAAGAAAAATTGGAAGTTAATTAGCATTCGTGAATATGAATAATGAAATCTATTCTTGAATGTAAAATTCTAATTAACTTAGAATTAGAATTAATAACATTAAAATGTATAAATGGAGATAAATATTAATTAAATAAATGTGAATGTCAATTAATTAAGAATTAATAATAAGGAATTCATACGTTAATAAAAGCATAAAGATAAAATGAGCCCTTGTTTGAGCTTCATTTTTTTGAAAAAATGTATTTTTCAACAGTATTTTAACATCATTTCAATCACACATTCTTAAATAAAATAATATTATATGTAATTTCAGAACTTTTTCTTATTTTTTAACCATACATTTCTCATCAACACACTATTTAAAAATTCATTCGGTCATTCCCCCTCAAAACCCACCCCCACCCCCACCCACCCCCCAAATGGGGCTCAAACAAGGGCTGAATATGTCAAATGTACATGTACATTTATGATAACTAAATGGTTAAATAAATTATATCTATATCGAAATAATGGAATTATAGTAGGGCTAAAAACGTCAAAAAATTAATTCTCATTTGATGAGATATTTAATTCAATTAAGTAATATTGGATGTTAATTAACATATATGAACATGAATAATGAAATGCATTCTTGAATGTAAAATTCTAATTAGAATTAATAATACTAAAATGCATAAATGAAGATGAATATTAATTAATTGAGAAGTAACAATAAAAAATTCATACATTAATGAATGCACATGGATGAAATGAATTGATCAAATGTACATGTATATTGATGATAACTAAATAATTAAATAAATTAAATACAGATTAAAAAACGAAAAGTAAGACGTTATTGAATTAATTGAATTATATAAAAATTAATAACGAGGAATTCATACATTAATGAAAGCAAACATGTGAAATGAATCTCTCAAATGTACATCTATATTGACGACAACTAAATGATTAAATAAATCAAATACAAATTAAAAAAAATGAAAAATAAGGTATTATTGAAATAATTAAATTATAGCAAGGCTAAAATAATCCAAAAATGATTCTCACTCAATGTGATATTTAATATATTATAGATTTAACTCGATATATTATATTTTTTCACCTGGCACCACTGGTGCTGAATAGCTTTACTCATTTCATTAGCATGAAAAGAGTCTATGCTTCAGCTTGCATAATTTGAACTTGTTGCTTCATGCCAGGTCCGGTCCTGTGGGAAGTGGTTCATAGCCATCGTGGTGCTTGACATTTTCAGCATTATTGGAAGTCATAATGGGAATGCATTTGAGGACAACAGCAACAAGCAAACTTGCAGCTCCAATCAATATGCTAACTCCCCACAGCTCAAGACTCAATGGCACTGTATCTGCAATTGTGCCTAAAAATTCTACAATAACTATTTGGAAAGCAACAGTGGAGACCATGATGACCACGAAAATCCAGCTGCTGAACATGCCCCGGAAAACATTTATCTTCTCCATGTCGCGGCTGTTTATTTCGTTAAAAACCTGGTATTTGTGGAAGGAAGGTTTATCAGAGTTTCCCCAGCAGACGTTAGGACAGAATGAAGATGTAAACAAGGTACTTGTACATGTCCTTTTATTGGACACCAAATTTTAAAGCAACGAAGATCTAGGACTCGAAGACAGTTTTTGCAGTATGTGATGTGAAGTTGAATGAAAAACAAAAAACAAAAAGGTCTTTAGTCTTGAGGGAAAAAGGAATCTGGTTCTTGAAATACCTGGCAAAACACAAAGGTATTGAAGATCAAGGTATTAAGAGTTGCAGTAGAATCTACACCATTGAGCTTCAAGAGCCGCTTTCCTTCAAAAGAGAGTATCCCAAGAGCGGCCAATTGGTACAAACTCTGTCCAATAATATTTCTCCACATAACCCTTGTAATGAAATGAGCATTCCTCCCAACAGGTGGTCTCTTCATCAATCCATCATGTGGAGGTTCTGTAGCAAGAGCTAATGCACCAAGAGTGTCCATTATCATGTTCACCCATAGCAACTGCACAGCGGTGAGTGGCGCTGAACCTGAAGATGTGCGGTAAATTTATTTATTTATTTTCAGTAATCAACAATGCATAGATTTATAAATAAACCATTTTTTCATTCGGTTAATTTGTGCGTAAAGGCTAGCTACCTGAGATGCATGCAGAAACAAAATTTGTTACGAGAGCAACGACGTTTACTGTCAGCTGGAACTGTACGAACTTTTGAATGTTGATATAGACTGATCGACCCCATTTGGCAACATTCACTATGGTCTTAAAATTATCATCCATTATCACCACATCTGCACTTTCTTTAGCAACCTGTGCGCATCAAAGAACTCTCCACTGTTAAGGCAATGGAAGAACAAATATATAAAGCATCGTATTCTACTGAATACTCCATAGAGTCCATACACAGGAGAATCACTGAGTGGTAGAAACTAGAATGAAACATACACGAGGAGACATTCTTGTTTGAACAAGCAGATTCAAATTTTCTATGTACTCTGAGAAAAGTAACATAGATGCATGAACTTGAAAAGGCTTCTTGTCTACTTGTTAATGATAATTGAAGATTCATGAAATAATTTTCCATGATATTAAACAAACCTCGGTTCCTGCTATACCCATAGCAAGTCCAATATCTGCCTCATGAAGAGCAGGAGCATCGTTAGTTCCATCACCGGTCACAGCCACCACTTCTTTCAATTCCTTCCTCAACATGGTTACTAATTTGTGTTTATCCGAAGGCAACGATCTCGCCATAACCTAAAAAAAACAAATTATTCAAGAAATTATAAGCTATTTTACTCAATTCAATGTCTAAATCATTTTCAGGCCAGTATCATACCTGCAGTTTAGGTATAATCTCTTTCATTTCCTGGGTACTTCTATCACGAAAATCTTTCCCTTCCATGGCTATTCCATCATCGGTCAAGATGCCACATTCTTTAGCTATGGCCTTGGCTGTATTTATGTTATCTCCTGTTACCATTCGCACTGTAATTCCAGCAGCTAAACAAGTCTGGACTGCTGCTTTTACGCCTGGTCGAACTGGATCCTCAATTCCAACTACTGCTACAAGTGTAAAATTGTTATCAGGAATAGAATCATCAGACATGTTTTCCATATCCTTAAAAGCCAAACTAAGTGTTCTCAGAGCTTTGCACGCGAAACCATCAATGACATTCGCAATGTTCTTTCTTTGTTCGTCTGATAAAGATACTGATTCGCCATCCTTCCCAACAATCTTGTCACACATGCCAAGAATAACTTCTGATGCACCTTTAACAAAGGCTCGAAGTCCACCACCTGGAAGAGCCACCAGCACAGACATCTTTTTCTTTACTGAATTAAAAGGTTCGACTTTTATTGTTTTGAACTCCTGTTTTTGAGCATCAAAGTCCTTTTGAAATAGCAAGCCGAACTCCAGCATAGCTCTCTCAGTTGGAGAACCGAATATTTCAGTCTTGCCGTCTTGACCTTCAACCACTTCAGAGTTTGTGTTTAGAAATATGCTATGAATAAGAGCTCTTGTTACTTTTTCTGGTATAGAAGATTTCAATGCATTTCCCAGCCTGTTACTTTCTACGGTTTTGGCTTCTCCGCATATCCAAATTTGTGTCACCACCATGTGATTTGTAGTCAAAGTGCCTGTTTTATCCGTGCAAATGCAACTAGCCGAACCCATAGTCTCACAAGCGGAGAGATGCCTAACTAACGCCCTATCGCTCATTAATTTCTTCATTGCAAAGGCAAGACTTAGTGTTACTGCCAATGGCAGCCCTTCTGGTACAGCAACTACAAGTATAGTTACTGCAATTGCAAAGAGATTCAGGAGACTCAGCGCATCATCCATCGTCCATTTTGTGATCCCACCCTGCTTCGTTGCTAAAAACCGTGCAGTGAGCACCAAAAATGTCAGCACTGCAAAAGCCAAACCAATTTTCCCGATAATGGTTGCCACTCCATTTAGCTTCACCTGCAATGGCGTCTCGTCATTTCCTCCTTCACTTAGAGTGACCATCAATCGTCCCCATTCTGTCCTCATACCGACTGAAGTCACAAGCATTTTACCTGATCCGTCTTGCACTTTCGTACCAGACAGAAGAAAAGGTCTCCTTTTCTCTATATTTACTGCCTCACTCTCACCAGACAAGCTCGACTCGTCAATTGACAAGCTGTGACCTGATATGAAAAGCCCATCTGCTGGAACTTGATCTCCTATGGACAGG